GATCAGTGTGTAAGAGGGGGTTGTCTTTCATGAACATTGTTGTTACATATTAATTTCATTACATAACCTCTGCTTCTTCAAGTTTGTGGCATGCTTAGGGTGAGAGGAGATTTCCTTTTCTTTCTATCTAGGGCATTTACAATCGTAGGCATTCCTGACCTTTCTATAGTTTTTTACTGTAGACATTTCTGTTTTATCTTTGATTAGCTACGGTAATGCAGCTAGAACCTTATGTAATATGAGTTAAATGTTCTTTCCTGTGTTCCCTTCTATCTATTTTTTAAACAATGTTAACACTCTGTTGTTTTTTAAAAGATTGCCAACTCAGTGTTATATGCATATCACAGCAATAGGGTTCACTTAGCCAGGTCCCTAAGCCCTCCCGCAGGGAGGGAGAATCCACTTTCTAAGTCAGCCGCCCTTTTCCTGGAAGGTCAACATTAGTCAACTTCTGGTCCCATCAGTGGCTGGCTTGTGAGGTGAAATCATGTCATAGAATCATAGAATCATAGATTTGGAAGAGATTTCATGGGCCATCCAGTCTAACCCCCTGCCAAGAAGCAGGAAAATCGTATTCAAAGCACCCCCAACAGATGGCCATCCAGCCTCTGTTTAAAAGCCTCCAAAGAAGGAGCCTCCACCACACTCCGGGGCAGAGAGTTCCACTTCTGAACAGCTCTCATAGTCAGGAATTTCTTCCTAATGTTCAGGTGGAATCTCCTTTCTTGTAGTTTGAAGCCATTGTTCTGCGTCCTAGTCTCCAGGGCAGCAGAAAACAAGCTTCCTCCCTCCTCCCTCCTCCCTCTGAATTCTCCTCACATATTTATACATGGCTATCATGTCTCCTCTCAGCCTTCTCTTCTTCAGGCTAAACATGCCAGTTCTTTAAGCTGCTCCTCATAGGGCTTGTTCTCCAGACCCTTGATCAGTTTAGTCGCCCTCCTCTGGACACATTCCAGCTTGTCAATATCTCCTTTCAATTGTGATGCCTGGAATTGGACACAGCATTCCAGATGTGGTCTAACCAAGGCGGAATAGAGGGGTAGCATGACTTCCCTGGATCTAGACACTAGACATCCCGTTGGCTTTTTTTGTCGCCACGTCACATTGTTGTATGTAAGCTAGAATAATTTGTAATTTCTATGGAAAGGGATCCAAGATGGTATTTTAATCCTTAAATATTTCAGAGACATTTGCAATACTGGTGTATGAATCTTGCCTTATTTTAAAAGTCTCTTTTTTTGTTTTGAAAGTGTAGTTTTCCACCTGCCCCAACCAAGTAAATGAGAGAAATTGTCCTGGATCCATGTCACAATTGCTTTTATTGCTTTTATTTCCATGTTTGCCTGTTGCAACAAAAATGACTATGAGTTTTCTGGCAGCTTAAGGACAAGTCAGTTTTGTTTGGCACAGATTTTGTGGGGCGATAAAATAAGGTGCAACCCTGCACATTATACCAGATTTAAAAGCCACAGGCTTCTTTGTTGGTTTCATTGAGTTGAATTCAGAGTTGTGCAGAGTGGAACTCCACAAATGAGACAACCTTGCAGGCAAAGGTGTGCTGATGGGGAGATATTACTGTGGTCAATTGCTCCTTCCCTCTTCGGTGTTATATGTCTCTGAAAAATGAGCCCAATCAAGTTGGGAAGTGGGCCTTTCCAGAACAACAACAGAAATAGTCAAGGAATTAATTAAAAACATTGCTTTGCTCCCTTCCTCCAGCAGGGAGATTCCACTAGAGCGGTTCTCTCTGTTTCTGAAAGATGAACACTTTATCAAGCATGTTATCTCTCACAGCTTCTCTTAGGCTAAAAAGGTACCTCGTTTGCTATAAATACATATTAACTCAGCCATTGCCACTGAGATGAACTGCCACACTATCTCTCACATCATACACACCAGCAGATATATGTATATCTAAAAGACCCATTTATTTAATTACAGTGTGACCCCTGTATCTGTAGGACTGGTACTCATGGTGTAATTGATCCACATCTTACCAATATGACTTCTCCAGTCATTCTCTAGATTCCCCATGGTGATTCTAAGGAATTCCTGGGGTTAGAAGTTCTTCATTTCAATAGGGTTCATTATTATCTGTAATTTTGTGTACTCACACAAAAGTCTAGGTACACATCCCCTTCAGATATGGGGTCAGACTATATATGACAAATTACGAGTATTAGGTCGGAATCCATATAATCATTCCATTTTATTTTCATGCCAACCCAGTCAAGGTAAGTGAGATGGAGATAGTGTCTGGCTTAGTGCCACCCAATAAGGTAGATGTATGGATGAATTGGGACTTGGATCCAAGTCTTGTCCATCTAATTCTTTATCTGCTATTATAATATCAGCATATTTGGCTCCTGCCTGTATCTTGTTTGTATGTGCTTTGTTGTTGTATCTCACTGCAGATGAGCCCCCTCTGTCAGTTCCAGCTTCCCATGAGGGGACATGAGAGAAGCCTGCCACAAGGATGGTAAAACATCAAAAAATCCGGATGTCCCCTGGGCAACATCCTTGCTGACAGCCAATTCTCTCGTACCAGAAGCGACTTGCAGTTTCTCAAGTCACTCCTGACACAAAAAACCGAAACAAAACCTTGATCCATAGGGAGAGATGGGCAAGAAATAAATATGTTTAAAAATAATCATCACCTGCTCCAGGTTAGTCCCAAGATAAGAAGCATTCTTGAGCCAGAGAAATGCAATTAGAAAATGCCAGCCGTGACAATGCCATTCTCTTAAGGTGAATTGGACCTTGGCCTTTGGCTATTTATGTTGTCAAGATAGTTTAGCAAATGCCTTGCAAGATCTGTGAAGTGTCTAGAAGTACATCAGTGGTCTATCAATTGTGAGAGGAGCAGACAATCAAAGCAATGGCTCAATGCAAGCTGCCACAGCGCTGCTCTGCTTCAACCACCAACCCCAAAGCTTTGGGCAATGATTTGCATTCTGAAATATACAAGGAGATTCAGAGGGCAGGACCCAGGCTCCTTTGGCTCTGTGGTTAATTGACACCATCAGTCACTTCAGTGCATCACCTCAAAAGAGATATTCTGTAGGGGCAGCTTTCTGACTGGGAGATGATCTGTCAGTGGTGGCCTGATTGATGGTTGTCCAGGGTGATTCTAAATTCACATAAATTAATTCAGGCTGCCTTTCAGAGTAGCTGGTAGGTCAAGCAACATTTCAAAGACACCAGTGGGGAAACAGACCAGTTAGTCAGCCTGGCTTTTCAATCCCACTCCTCTTTTCACAAGTGTTTTTGAAGAAACTTCTGAAACAACGCAATACACCTTTGTTCTGTAATAAAGTAGAAGAATCAACTTTTGGCATTTGAGCTTTTTGTATGTTGAATGATAAACAGTGCTCTTTGTTGAATGTGTGATGCAGCATAGTCTTATCTGGCTAATTCTTTCATGCTGAGATAGAATTCACCTTACATCTTTTCCCACAGGAGTTTGTGAAATGCTCTAGCATCCTCTTCATAACCTGCCTCTGGCTTTAGATGATAGAGAACATATCTCTACTGGAAGGCTGTACAGGAAGGAAGGAAGGAAGGAAGGAAGGAAGGAAGGAAGGAAGGAAGGAAGGAAGGAAGGAAGGAAGGAAGGAAGGAAGGAAGGAAGGAAGGAAGGAAGGAAGGAAAGAAGGAAGGGAAACTTCTTTCCACTTATTTGATCATTGTTCCAATACTTTTTTAAAATTAGCTATATGCTAATTAAAACCCCAGGAGCTACAGAGGGTTAAACTTTAGAGCTGCTGAACTTGCTGACTAAAAGGCCAAAGGTTCAAATCTGGGGAGCAGAGTGAGCACCCACTGTTAGCCCCAGCTTTTGACAACCTAGCAGTTCGAAAACATGCAAATATGAGTAGATCGATAGGTATTGCTCTGGTGAGAAGGTAATGGCCCTCCATGCTGTCCTGCTGGCCACATGACCTTTGAGGTGTCTATGGACAATGCCAGCTCTTTGGCTTAGAAATGGAGATGAGCACCAACCCCCAGAGTCAGATACGACTAGACTTAATGTCAGGGGAAAACCTTTACCTTTACCTATGCATGAAAATATGTGCCCAATTTACACTTTATTTTTTGCCTGCTCCTACGGAGGTTCTGTCCATATCTGACAAAGGGTAATACAATAAAAGGGGACATTGTTAAACTAATAAAGAATCACATACACTCATGAATTAAAATGAGTGATAAGACATCACAAGTTTGGAGTACGGAGAGCATTAGCATTTCTCTGTGTCTTCCTCTCGGTGTCTATTTTTGAAAATTCTCTACATATTTTCCTTTCATTATTGAGACATAAAATATGCATGTGGAAATGCTAATCTTGCCATGTCTTTGCAAATCTGTACATTTTAACCAGCCCTGCCCTATAAACCATCACTGAATAATATCTCAAGTCGCCAGGAAAAGCTCATCAAACAAGATTGCAAATGTTTTGCTGTTGATAAAAAAGAACGCCCCTTCCCAAAATTCATTTGTAGAAGCACCCACTGGAAAACTTCATGTTTCCTTCCTGTTTTCAAGATCTGAAACAGTGGTTCCCACATCTTTCCCCAACCTCCTACCCGGAGCTCTGAAGTCGCTTGATAATGCCTGCCAAATTAAACTTTAAAAGAAAATTAATTACCAGGAATGCCTGTGGGTGTCTGGCAGGGAGTCAAGCGAGCTCCCAATGCAATCTTCTATTAGCTTCTAAATCTGTTGGGAAGAATAGGATTAGGTGCCAAGGATATCTATGGGATTAACAGGCAATGTGTCGGACTAATTCATCCCGCTACATTCAAACACCAAAGAGGGGAAAGGAAGAGCAGCCAGCCTGGGAATCAAAACATCAATTGGGTTTGGTGAAAGAAGAGCAAACACAGGCATAGAAAAAGAGCCCTAAGGAGGGGGAAATAAATGACAAAAAAGGATTCGAGGTAAGGCTTCCTGCCTTCCCTGCTCCTACTTTGTCAACACATTGGAATAGCAATGCTTACCTTGCCAAGTAGAGACACCTGTTAGGCGAGGGGAGACGCATCTCTCTCTCTCCGTCTCTCTGTCTTTCTCCTTCTTTCTTCCGTGCTGGGGGCTTTGGTGGTTTCCCAGCCGAGCCAGGCACTTGGGCTTCTCTTCTTGCCTATGCTTCCCTTTGGCTGTGGAGATGCCCCTCCGTCAAGGGGCAGGGGCGCCTCTGCTCCTCGGGTGCCTCTCGGCTTGCGTAAGTCGCTGTCCAGAGCCGCCCTGGTGCTGAAGGCGCCTCATGCCTTCGCTGAGGAGCTGCCCTGGCGCTGGCAGCCTCTTTGGAATCCGCGCTGGAAACTCCTCCAAGGCAGGGTGGAGATGGATGGCAAGCCGCTTGGCAAGCCTTTATTAGCTCGCCGGGGGAGCTGTCCGCATCCCGGGAGCGGGGATCAAACTCGCGCGGGAAGGAGGGAAGGGAAAGGAAGGGAAGGGGCCGGAACTGTCCAACAACGTGGTGCTGAATCCCAATCCAGAGGAAAGGGGCGGCGGAGGGGAAGGTGGGAGGCAGGCAGGCAGGCAGGGAAGGAGGGGGCAGGGAGGGCTCCAGGCAGGGATCGCGATCTATCTACACGTGCAGACCTTCTGCCCAAATACTTCGCGCCCCGCCAGGAGACGGTGCGGGGAGAAACATCTGAGCCAGAGCACCAAGGGGCTCTCCTTCTTGATGGGCTCTCTGCCCCTTGTTCTGGGAGTCAGGAGGATCAAGACAGACCCTTGAAAGCCCTTGGGGGGAAGGAGAAATGGTCTCTGAGTGTGGATCCCAATACAGAAATGGGCTGCAAGGTTCTCCAGGTTTGCTTGTGATGCCTCAAACAAATGGGTATTGTTGACCTGAAGCCATGAAGGCACATTTGCACCCACGTTTGGAAATAGTCCTTCCTTTTGTGGCTTAACCTAACTGAGAAAGAATAAAAGAGATTAGGGGACGGGGTTATTGATTTATCGTGTCAAAAGCAAATTGAGGGTACAGTTATAATGTAGTTATAAAAACACAAACAAAGTTAAAAACTTGGCATTATGCTAAACGTCCTTTGACCAGAAGCTAGCCATTTGGAGTGTCTCTGATGTTGCTGTGAGAAGGTCCTCCACTTTGCATGTGGCAGGGCTCAGGTTGCATTGTAGTAGGTGTCTGTTGTCTGTTCTTCTCCACACTCACATTTCGTGGAGTCCACTTTACAGCCCCATTTCTTACGGTTAGCTCTACATCTTGTGGTGCCAGAGTGCAGCCTGTTCAGTGCCTTCCAGGTCACCCAATCTTCTGTGTGCCCAGGAGGGAATCTCTCCTCTGGTATCAACCACTGATTGAGGTTCTGGGTTTTAGCCTGCCACCTTTGGACTCTCACTTGCTGAGGTGTTCCTGCGAGTATCTCTCTTGATCTTAGGAAGCTATTTATTGATTTAAGGCATTGGTGTGCTGGTTGATATCCAAACAGAGGATGGGCCGGAGATGTCAATGCCTTGGTCTTTTCATTATAGCTTGCTCTTCCTGGCAGATGTCAGGTGGTGCAACACCAGCTAAACAGTATAATTTCTCCAGTGGTAATGGGCATAGGCATCCTGTGATAATGCAGCATGTCTCATTAAGAGCCACATCCACTGTTTTAACGTGGTGAAATGTATTCCACACTGGGGTCACATATTCAGTAGCAGAGTAGCAAAGGGCAAAGGCAGATGTCTTCACAGTCTGGTTGTGATCCCCAGGGGAGGGGGTAATTACAGGAGATAAATAGGAGGAAAAAAACCAAAAGCAAGAAGGGCAGATCCAAAGCAAGTAGAGGATTCCCAACACATTTTATGGTTGGGAAGGCACCATCACTTAAGAAATGCTGGAGTCCACTTATACTCTGTTTTCTATGCTTCCACGTCATAGAATCTTAGAGTCATAGAATTGGAAGAGACCACAAGGGCCACACAATCCAACCTCATTCTTCCATGCAGGAAAAGCACCATCAAAGCACATCTTATGGATGGCCATCCAGCCTCTGCTTAAGAATCTCCAGAGAAGGAGACTCCATCAGACTCCCAGACAGCATATTCCACTGCCAAACAGCTCTTACCATCACAAAGTATTTCCTAATGTTTTGGTGGGAAATTTTTCCTCCAATTTGAATCCATTACTCCATGTTCTAGTCTCCAGAGCAGTAGAAAACAAACTTGCCCACTCTTGAATATGACTTCTTTTAAAATATTTTTTCAAATGGACATCTATCAAATGTCATCTATCTGCCTTTGTTTCTCCAAGCTAAACATACACTGTTCCCTAAGCCTTTCTTCATAAAGCTTGGTTTCCAAACATTTGGTAATTTTGGTTGCCCTTCCCTGGACACCTTCTAGCTTGTTAACATCCTTCTTGAGTTATGATGCCCAGAACTGGACAGAGGATTCCAAGTAAGATCTATTCTGGGTTTAGTTCAAACCAAGGTTCTCAATCTAAATGATGTTAGTAGATACTCCCTTGGATAGCTCTTTTAAAGTTTGGATGAATTTCCAAAGCAGATTTCCTGTCCCACTGTCATGGAAGCTCTCAGGTGCCAGTCCTTATTGTCCCTATTCAAAGTCCTCATGAGCTGTGTTCATGACCTTCTACCTTTGTGTTTTTTCTTCCTCAGACACCCAGATGGTCTGTATTAAAATTGAGAGCTCAAATACAATAATCTCTGCAAAAAAACAAGCCTTCCCTTATAAAGCAGGACACAGATTTTCCAAATGCAACTAGCCACAACCCCTAGCCTGACCTTAAAGATTGTGAATTGTCCCAGATTTAGTTTTTTTTTTTTGGGGGGGGGGGTTCTTAGGTTACTTTAATGAGACCCCTCTAGAGGCTATGACTATGGCTTGGGATGAACTTAATTCACTAAGTGGGCAGATCAGCCCGACGGTGTGGAAAGGCAAATTATTCCCTTGACTAGTTCCCAGGCTAGGGATAGTCTGCACTCACTCCGGGCTGACATGTTTTCTCCCTTTACTTATGCTAATCGTCTCTTTAATCAGCTGCTAATTATGTGCTGTGGGGAAACAATTTAGCCAACAGGCCCTCTTTCAATCTACCCCCCCCCCCATCAAAATAAGTATGCTTTTCATTGAACATCTTTAATACAGAGCATATACATCACATATACATTAGCGGACTAGAGAGCCAGTCTTAGCAAAGCAACAAGGTTCTCCTGTAAGTTTAATTCTCCTCCAGCACACAGCCACCCATTTCCTAACAGAAGAAACTATTGAGGAAAGTAGGAAACATATTTAAAGGTATCTATGTACAACAAAATACCTCACAATTCAAAATCTGCAAAAGAGTAATACAGTTATTGGCCAATCAAAATGCAAGAAATGCATCATGCAAGCTTTCAAAACTTAACTGGCTTGTTCACCAGAAAAAAAATGTTTTAAATCTTAGTGGTTTCAGGGGATGGAAACAGATTTGATTTTAAAATGTACTCTGAAACTTGATTAATATTGAGAGGAAGGCAAATTCCAAGAATTTCCAAGGATAATATCAATGGGGGATGCAGTCCAGGTATTGCAGGACTGCAACTTCCATCAGCACTAGATAGTGTAGTTAATGGTGAGAGACAATGGGAACTATAGGTGAGTCCCCCACTTCCCCCCGGGTAGAGAAAGGTGGGGTATAAATAAGGTAAATAAAAAAATAATACCAGTGGTATTTAATACTGTTTTAATGTTTATGTACTTGTGGATTTTTAAATTATAGTGAAATGCATTTTATATGAGTCGCTTGGAGTCTCTTTGTGGAAAGTAAAGACAGGGTATAAATGATGATGATGTCCACATAATGAGAAGTAGGAAACCTTAGAGAAGACAATAATGCTGGGAAAATTGAAGGAAAAAGGAAGAGGGGCCGATCAAGAGCTACATGGATGGCATCCTTGAAGTGACTGGCTTAACTCTGAAGGAGCTGGGGGTGGTGACGGCCAACAGGGAGCTCTGGTGTGGGCTGATCCATGAGGTCACAAAGAGTCAGAAGCAACTGAACAAATAAACAACAACAAATGATGATGATGATGATGATGATGATGATGAGGATGAGGATGATGACGATGACAATGATGACTATGATGTCTGGAGTGCCACACATTCCCCAGCTCTGCCTTAGAACTTGAATTGACGGCACCTTTTCTTTCTTTTACAATATGTACAGGTAAGTACATGTATAGCTTCCCTCCCCCCGCCAACAACCTCTGCATTTTGGTCACAATTTCAGGCATTTGCTTGGCTGGTCTCCCATCCTCCTGAATGCCCTTGGGCACAGTGCTACATCTTATGGCAGAATGCTAGCTAGGATTCTGAATGCACCTGAAATGGTTCTTGAAGTAGCAACCAAACTTTTGTGAGGCAGGGAAGATTTTTCACTTTCTTCTTCTGAAATGCAGTCTAGAATACCACTGGTATCTTTTGGCATTCTCCCATCCCAAGTACTAACCAAGCCTGACTCTGCATAGCTTCCAAGATCAGATGGGATCTGGCACATTAGGATATTTAGGCTTCTTAAGAAATTTGGCTACATGCATTGAAAATATATGTAGCCAAATGAAGGACATATGGCTACATATATTGCATCACCTTATGCAGCCATTATGATTTACATATTTCTGAATCCTTTGCATCCTATCCCACTCCCATAAGTGTGTGTGTGTGTGTGTGTGTGTGTGCTTTATATCTATGGCCTTAATACTTTTTGGTAGTGTAGTTCATGGTTTATTATATCCATGAAAGTCCATGCTAATTGTAAAGGTGCTTTCACATTTCTTTTGCTTCCCATTCCTTCCTCCCTTTTCTTACATATTGAAAAGGAACACCAGCATCTCTGAAATGCTTTGAATTATCTCACTGACATTCATGTGGGATGAATCATCCTGAGAAAGTTCGGTGGTGTGGTATTCAAGCCAGCTTTAGATACAACTGGGCAGAGGGCATTTTGGATAATGAGCCCCTTTTAATGTGACCTCTGGGGTTTTCTCTCCAGAGAGGCTCACCCAGCACCTGAACAATTATCATGGCTGGAATCCTGTACAGCAGTTGCAAATGCATAAGCACCGTAATTACGATGCTGCACAGTTACTGCCAGCACAATCCTCCCAGGAACCCACTTACCAGGCAGCAGCTGCTGGGATCAACAGGGGGCCTGTTCCCCAGTTGTTCAGGAAGCTGCTGACTGCCATTCCCACCCCCTCATGCATGTGATCTCTGAGGTGGCAGGCAGAAACAGGACCCATATGGCAATCCCCCCTCACAGCAGAGACCATTCACATAAGGGGGTGAAACAACAAGCGGCAGGGGAGCAGATCCCCATCGATCCCAATTGCTGCTTCCCAATGAGGGTGGAATTGAGGGACTTGCATGGTCCCAACATAGCACCTAAACTAAATCAAACACATTCCCTAAAATAGATGCTATGTAGAGATTGTGAATGGGTAACAATCATAAGTTCAAACCTCCATAGAGAATTCAGGCCCATATGTCTGTGCAGGGTGGGGTGGAAGAATCTTATTTTTTTCCCCATTTCTCTTCCTCCTATTTGCATTTTCTTCCCATCCTCATTTCCAATTGGGTTATGAGGTTTTGTGTTTGTTTAGTCATGCA